CGCCTTCCGCCGGCGCAGGCGCGGGGTCAGCTGATCGGTCCCCATGGGGACGGAGGCGGGGACCAGGCCGGCGCAGGGTGGGCGAGCTGCTCCCTGACTGTGGCAGTGTCCAGGTTCCCACTCTGCAGGGTTGTCCGGACACGGCTGCCTCGCGATTAAGCTCACCACCTTTTCTGCCTTCGGGAAGTTCATGCCCAGGCACCCCCGCGTCAGTGGCACATTGTATTTCCGCTTTTGGTTTCTTAGTTCCTGTCACTTTTGACACAAAGGAGTCAGAAGAACCCAGTCTTTGAAGATTTCCTTCCCAGAACTCGCTGACATCTTGCTTTACCTCTTAAACAGCGAGCTCAGAAATATCAATCGCGCTACCCCTTGTCAGCACCTACTTATTTTTCTCTTACAATATTTGTCTTTGTCTTTTATTGCTCTTTGTTCACCTGAGCTAATATCCATTAGCTGTAGAGGGTTATAATGTGGTATAGCATAAAGGTAATAGCCATATTCAACCATAAAATCATAAAGATTTTTCTTAAGGGTTATGTATCAGGCACTGTTGTAAGAATTTAATATACATAGTCTTATTTGGTTTTTACATCAACCTATGAAGATAGATCCAGCATCCCATAAAAAAAGCGTAATATTACCTGAAAATATTCATAGTTATCATGGAATGCCATAGAGTTCATCACAAAAATGGCATTAACATACAAAGTAATTTATTTCTATCAAAATTACTAGTGCCACAATCTTGGTAAAACTAGGAGAACTTAATCTTGTAAAACTAGTAAAAATCTGAGCATAAAAGACATAACAAAGAAGATGCATACTGCCCAAAGAAAGCTTGTGGCTTACCTGAAAAAATAGGCATTTAAAAATAATTACAGAGGGTTGAGGATTTAGCTCAGCGATTCTGCTGCCTGCCTCTCTAAGCGCAAGGTCCCAAGTTCAAACCCAAGTACCAAAAAAATTTTTTTAATTAAAAAATCATTACAAAATAGATAGAAAAGGGGAAAAAAACTTTTTGCACTCATACAATTGTGTATATAGGAAATCCTCAAGAAGTGACCAAAAACTAAAACTAATATGCAATTATAACAAGGTTGCAAGATACAAGGTTAATGTATAGAAGTCAGTTGTTTTCTTATGTATCAGAAATGAACAATTGGAATCTGAAATTAAAGACAGTACTACTTATATTAGCACCAAAATAAAATGAAATAACAGTGACAAATCTAAAAAAATGTGTATAATATCTATGTGAGGAAAACACAGTTCTGAGAAAAATCTAAGATCTACACGATCGAAAGCTATACCATGCTCATTGATAGGAAGACTCAATATTAAGATTTCAGCTCTTCTCTACTTGATCTATAGATTTAACACAATCTCAATCAAAATCCCAGCAAGTTATTTTGTGGATATTAACAAACTAATTCTAAAGTTTTATGAAAAAAACAAAAGACCCAAGGGCCAAGGCAATACTGTACTAAAGAGAAAGTATGAGGCCTGACAGTAATGGTTTTAGGTTGACTACTATAATAAATTATCAAGGACCAGGTGGCTTAAATAACAGAAATTTACCTCTCACAGGTCCAGAAGCTAGAAATTTCAAGATCTTGCCTGAAAATCTGGAGTCTACTGAGGGTCACTTCCTGGTTTGTCCTTATGCCATTGATTCTTTATGTGTCAGAGAGAGGGATAGAGAAATAGTGAAGGATGGAGAGAGAATGCTTTCTCATGCTGGGTGTTTTGTTTGTTTGTTTCAAAACAATGTCTTGCTTTGTGGCTCAGGCTGGCCTTAAAAAGTAGAGCCCTGGCTTCCCTCAAACTCACTCAGGACCTTCGCTTGCAAGGCAAGCAGCAGCACAACTGAACTAAATCCCTACCCCACACCTGGCAATTCTTATAGAGGCTTTAATCCCATTATGAAGGTTCCATTCTCTTGACATAATTACCTCCCAAAGATCCCATCTCCAAATACCATCATACTGTGTAACTGGCTTCAACTTTGGGGAAAGGGACACAAACAGTTTATGGCAATACATAACTTCAGAACTTACTATAAAACTACGGTAATCAAGCTAGGCATGTTGGCAAATGCCTGTAATCTCAGCATTCCAGAAGGCTGAAGCAGATGGGTCACAAATTGAAGCCCAGCCTGAATAATTTAACAATTTATCATGGTTTAATTTGGCAGAAGAAGGAGGAGGAAGAAGGAAGAATTTGGCAGAAGAAGGGGGGGTGGGGGTAACAACAACCAAGAATAACAAAGCAGAGATACTGTTCAGTGTGAAGAGCCTCAGTTCAATCCCCTGCAAAACAAAACAAAAACTATAGTAATCAAGAGACTGGCGAAAAAATAGACAAATACTGTGTATCAATGGAAAATAAAACAAAACCCAGAAATAGACCCAAAAGTACATGTAAAAGATCTTTGATAAAGGAGAAAAGGCATTGGATGGGGGGAGAGAAAATCCTCACCTGGGAATGTAGCTCAGTGTCAGAATATGTGCTTAGCATGCATGAATTCTTGGGCTCAACTCCCACCACCATTAAAGAAAAAAAAAAGCCTTCTTAAAAAATGTGCAGAAACAACTGGACTACCACATATGGCAAATGAATCTAGATATAGATCCTCTACCTTTTATAAAATTTACCTTGAAATGGATCATAAGTCTATATTTAAAATGCAAAACTGTAAACATTTTAGAAGATAATAGAGGAGAATCTAGGTGACCTTGGGTTTAGCCCAAAGTTTTTAGATGCAACAACAAAAGCAACCCATGGAAGAAAAACCTGAAAAGTTGAATTTTGTTAGAATGAAAAGTGTTTGCTCTGTGGAAGACAATGTCAAGAGAATATAAGCTACAGACCAAAATACCTGCAAAAAAAAAAATCTAATAAGCAATTTGTATTCAAAAATGCATATAATGCTTAACCCTCAACAATTAGAAACAAGACAATTAAAAACTGGGCAAAAGATATGAACAGACATCTCACCAAAGAAAAGATAGATGGCAAATAAGTACATATATGTGTATGTATATATATATTCATTATCATATAACATTAAGGTATTGCAAATGAAAATGAGATATCACACTACATATGTACTAGAATAGCTAAAATCCAAAACAACTAGCAGTGGAGCAACAAGAGCTCTCATTTGTTGCTGCTGGAAATGCTGAATAGTACAGCCACTTTGGAAGACAATTTGGAAGTTTCTTAAAAAGATAAACACAATCTTGTCATATGAATTATTAATCATGTTCAAATGTGTAGGTTATGTCCAAACAAAAACTGAAGATGAATACTTACAGCTGCTTTATTCATCACTGCCAAAAATAGGAAACAACCAAGATGTCCTTCAGTAGGTAAACAGAGAAACAACTGTGGTATATACATATGTTACCATATGCACCAAGTTGGTAGTCTCACAACACCAAGGAATGAAGTCACCAATAAAAGGAGAAAGTTAGGAGAGTTTTATTGGAAATAATAATAAGAAGGATAGTTTCTGGATTTCCAGGAGGAGTCCCAAGTGGGTAGCTGCCCAGGCTTTTTGTCAAGGGCATTTTATACAGCAAAATCACAACTTGGGTAACTACAGGTCAAACTACAATCAACCTGTAGGATTACAAGCATAATGCTTAACTAATATTGGTCTAATAGGGAAAGCAAGGCACATAGCAAGGGTATACAATGAGCACAGCTAACTTCAGTTTGTCTGTAACTTTTAACATAGAACTAAGGCGTTCCTGAAAAGGGATGGGAGTATGGGTCAGGGTGTTTTGGTCATCCATGCATTTGTTTGATGCACTACAGGCTCGCTAAACCCGTGGAGCTAATTACAGTATAATCTCAAGCTTCCGTTTATCTCTAAGGAGGCTCTCATGGCAGGCTCCCTTAAAATTTGTCTAAGCCACAAATCTTGATGTGTCTCATGTTTTGCACTGACCTCTTCAAGGGCCTGATGCTTCTCTGACTGCCTATTTGATATCTAACTTAAGTGGAATATCATTCAGCAATTCAAAAAACAAGCTATCAAGCCACAAAAAGATGTGAGAGACTCCTAAAGCATTTTGCTAAGTGATAGACAAAGGTCTAAAATAGCTACATATTGTGTGATTCCAACAACAAGAAATTCTGGAAAAAGGAAAAAATTAGAGAGACAGTCAAACACACACACACACACACACACACACACACACACACACAGGAGAGGGATAAGCAGTTGAAGCACGGGGGATTTGTAGCGATAAAGGCAGACACATGACATCCTCCTCTGTCAAAAATCATAGGATATCATATATATTTGGTGTTCATTGTTTATTTGGTGTTTGTTTGAAACAGAAATGTTTGAAGTTTCATAACTGTTTGGTGTTTCAAAAAATATTGCATTTCCTGAGTGAAAAATAATCTCTTTGTTATGCTAATGACACTGTTCAAGAAGTTTCAAGGTGGAGACTGGTCCACAGTAACACCAAGCATCTGACTAGGGCTGAAATTTTTGGCTCCAAGCCCCAATCTCCAGAAAAGTCTGAGTTTATATGCTTGAACGATGACTTAATCAACCATTCCCTTATAAGGAAACCCCAAATAAATTCTGAATGCCAAGGCTAAAGGGGGTAGATATGCCCTCTAACTCCACAGGGGTGAAGGTTCTTGCCCTTTAAGACCCTTCCAAACATTGCCCTATACACTTCTTCATCTGTTCATTTGTATCTTTTACAATAAACCTGTAGTCATAAGTATAATGCTTCCAGTGAGTTCTGAGTCATTCTAGCTAATTATTGATTCTGAAGAAGGGTTATGAGGACCCTCAAACTTGTAGCCAAGTAGCTTGCAGCTACAAGTAAGGGCAATTTTTTGATGACAGTGATGGCTAATCTTGATTGTCTATTTGAATGGACTATGAGATACCTAGGAG